CCGATCTCTTACTGCTTTACGGTGTCCATAGTGCAATCAGAGTGCACATGTGACAAGTGACCCGAAAAGCGCGCCCGAACAGGGGCTCGAACCCTGGACCCTCAGATTAAAAGTCTGATGCTCTACCGACTGAGCTATCCGGGCACGCCTGATGGTCCTCTGTCGGGCTATCTATAACCATATCAAAATTTAACGTCATTTAGGACAGCGCTATTTTACCTTGTTGTAAAGCGGCAAATCGCACCTACAGAATATCGCCGTGGCAAACTGGAGAACACCAGTCGCCCAACATATCCACCCCCTACATAACCGTAGCCGACTTTAGTGAAGAGCGTCTTTCCTCAACTTATATAACGCCGTCTTCGTTCATTTTCGGATGCTTCCCACCTACCGACACCCCGCTGTTATGTTCGGTTTCGATGTAATCAATCGAACTACTCTATGTGCTAGTACAGTCCAGCATACTTCAGGGTTGTCGGCCTGATTCTTCTATTGATTCCACGCTGCTCACCGCGCAAACCTCATTTGACGGTACTGTCTGCTCACGCGTTATGCTTCGGTCTCATCACTCTACTGTCGCATTTGTTACAGTTTGCACCCTGGTGTTCTCTAAACGATTCCTTGCATACGTTTCTGCCTACTCCGTTTGACTTCTCATGTGACGTTCGATAGTCAGGCCAATCGATCGGGAATCCTCTGCGTGCATAACGTTCCTTTGTAGGTGCCTTCATTTTGACCAATCTCCCACAGTCATATTCACGTAGGGGTAAATTTTCTCGCTCAGGAAGTTAGCTTTCCTAATTCTGACCTATATCTACGCGGTTAATCATGAGCTATTGCTTGGTATCATTTCCCAGGAGCATCTTTGGCACACACGCGTTATTTGTTTTTGTTCGATATGCCAATGGACGGAATATGTTGATTGTTTAGACCCACTTTGTATATTGTTCTTCGTATTTTTCGCTGACCTGTATTCTGCCAGCTTTTTCTTTGTTACCCAGCCTTTTTCGTGTTTTCTATCAACCGTCCTTCTGCCTGCTCGCTTATTTTTTGAGTGTTGTTAAGCCATCATTTTCTACTACGGTATCGCTTACATCTTGTTTTCTTGGCCTCTGAGTACCAGGTTTTGTTCTTTCTTTGAACCACATTGATCATCTCTGCGTTTTATATTCTTAAATTGTCGACCGGAATTGTTAGCTTTATTTTACTCGTTGCTGTGCGTATTGTGCAAAATTATTATCTTTCACTTTTTAAATTTTTTGTCAGCATTCATTTTTGCCCTTCGAATTGTACTTTAAATAACTAAGACCACCTACTTATGAGCATAACAGTAATGCTGTGCTGTTGAATAACGGCTGCTTTATGGGGTTTTCTTTTATTCACTTCATTTCTCTCACCGTTTGCCATCTTTTAGTTGCAGGGTTTATTAAATGATTACAATAAGTTGTTGGTTTTCTCTTGTATCAAATTGTATGAAGTAAAACATCTGCCATTTTCACCATACTCCAAGGAAATTCTGATTCGTCCAAGCAATGCGATGACGTCGCTTGGTCGCACGAATTGTTGCTCTGTTTGTGGTTATTGTTGACTTATTATCTTTAAGCAGTCGAACATGCGAGTGTTTGGCCCTAACATTATTTTGTACTCCGTACACAAATTCCTTCACTTGGCACCATTCTTGACACCAGTGCCCAGATATATATATATATATATATATATATATATATATATATATATATATATATATATATATATATATATATATCTTGCTTCCATGATACTTGGTCCAAATGCATCCCATATGTGCGCGTCTATATTCAGTTGCTGATAGGAAACGACTGAATTAATATGATCTGACGACAGAGTTTATTGTTTGATTCTTCCAGTCAGCTGTCATCCACACGTACACCAATTGCTTTTGGCGTAGATAACAATCACCCTAAAGCCCTGAGGGGAGCAGCGAGTGAGACAACTGAGTCACCTACCATGTTCGATAGAGGAGAACGGAAGTTCACTAATATGGAAACAAGGGACTATCACTCAAACTCACAACGGGAATGGTCAAACTGACTCCGCAAACTATCACTCGGTAATGCCAATTCGTGGACCTTCTAAAATTATGTAACCCGTCTTCGTAGATACACCAACGAGTCAGCTGTAAATGCGTTGTATAATCGTATTGGACCATCCTGGCCTCAGGCAAAATCGCTGTAGCGCTACTAATCTGTCAAATTCACACAGCCCCTGGATCACAGTAGTTGATGGGGCGTGGGAGTAGTTGTTGGCTGCCTCGGCATCTCAAGCGCGTTTGATCGTACTCATGAGTAGGGATTTTTGATATAATTACCTGAGAGTTCGTCGCATCAGCTCCAAAGCAGATAGTCCTCCATTGGCCCGGAAAAGCACTAGGTCTCAGCTTCAACCTTTTGTACAAAATGCAGCGAATATTTCAGGATTCATACCCATAGCCACCAACAGCTTGAACCCCCAGTTAGCAGCTTATGCCACTGGACGAAGGCGGACAGTGTGTGACTGTCATGATTTACAAGCCAACTACGGTATAGCGCGTCTGATCGCTTAGATACCAGAATTCTTCTCAGCAAACATTGGGGAGCCAATTCTACATTGGACAGACAATTTTTTATGCGAATGTCGATTGAGGGTGAGAGTCCGAGGATCACTGCGTGATGCAGTTGAAATCGATTGCAGCATACTACAAAGCTCGGTATATAGACCTTTCTCAATCTTGGTTTCCCCAAAGGATCCAGTAGAAGTACTTGCTTCCGATTTCCCACTCTTCGCAGTCGATATCAATTGGTGTTATACAATCATAGACATGACTAGAAAGCGGGGCTCGTGCGCGATTGTGACACAATTTCGGATTGGTCTTTTCAGACTATCCTGACATTCAATGTGCAGAAGCATCGGCTTGTTCAAAGGCACCACAAGCACACCGAAATTTATGGGCTTGGGTGACACAGCCTTCAGACCGGTCTACCGAAGCTGGAACTTAGTGTGCTTATACTGAATGGCCTCAGCAGTTCAAAACGGTCTGAGGTAGCTGCGAAAATATGCAACCAACAAGTTAGTCTGCTTTTGGAAGCATTCGGGAGTTTAACTCATCTCTTTTCCCGATGATACAAAACTACTTTTGGCCTCATGTCGAATACGCTATCCAAGATTCACCACCTCGGTTGAAGCGCGATTCCTGGGTAACTATATGAACGATAGCGCAGGGCAACAAAAAATGTCAGCATGTCTAGGTATTTATTCATACCAACAGACTGAAGTTATTGAAAGCTTTCGGCGCACACTACCGAAGGCTACGTGGCGATCTCATGCTGTGTACCAAATTGTACCTGATCCCACTCACGTATGCCTCGTTCAGCTGATGCTCAAACTTATAACCAAGCTCAGACACACCCGCTTAAAACTGCTTGAACGATACAACCGTCTAGAAGGCTGATGGAATTTACTTTTCGCGTCAGGCTTTCTCAACCCTGTATTTCTCACCACATTCAGTTGTTTCATCCCCTACTATGGATGTCTTCGAACGTTCATTAAAAATTAATTTCAGCTCTTGATTGCATAAGCTACGCCAATGCAGAACATCCTTATGCTTTACTCATGTGGAATTTACATACTACCTGGACACCAGGAAACCGGCACATAATGCCACGTTTTCATTTTGTTCGCAGGAAAGGTTAACTATAACTGCTCTATCCACTGCTTGAAGGGTTAATTTGAAGTGCTCGCTGCGTGGATAGGTTGTTACACACAATCTCATTGCAGACCGCACTTTATGGCTTAGCACAAAAAATAGTATGCGGTTACCATAATTTATCCGACTTTTCTACGTCTCCAAAAGCCGTCTGTCTCGCTTCAGTATTACTAGAAGAAACTTTGGCTCCCCACTGCTTTAATTGCTTCCATCATAAAAAGGATCCGAGACGAGGTACATTTTCTTGTTTTCGCGTAAGCCCACCCACACCATTGTCTAGCTATATTGAGATCCCACAACATCTCAACTACTATACTATGCCGTTTAATATCAGGCCTCAAATAATGTGGACCGGTACACTGGTTAATGTGTTGGTAGATATACTGATTAATGCAGAAGACAATAACCTAATAGAATGGATTGAGTAACCTTGGAAACTATTATCCTCTCAGGGGACCTTGGGACCATCCATAGTGAAAGTAAAAGAACGGTAGCTGGGGTGGGAAAGCGGTGGCTTTGGTGAACATTGGGACCACTCCCTAACGGGACTCGCCAGCGATGTAGTTTCCTCCAATATTTTAGAAAGGTGACAGCAGACTTTCTTATTTTGAAGGGTTCTACCTGGACGGCAATAGATGGTCTGTATTCTCTCCACCTCAAATCACCGAAAATGACGATGAAATTCGGGAGATTAACAACTTGGCTGCTTTAATGTTTCAGTAACCTTCCTCGAAAGACGGTGGCATGAGGAACATTCCTAGTATAAACTTTCTCGTCCCAAATGGCCCGTTTTTCCTGTATCTTCCCACTGAACTAGCAGATCAGGACTTGATATCAGAGAGCTTAGCAGGGTTGTAGGAGCTATCCGTTACCGCGATTTAGCAAGTCATGAACTTCGTTCAAATAAGGTCCTTCAGGTTTCCCAGGTTATCCTGAGGTCGTTAGCCATGCACATTTAGTTCGGTCTTGTGGAAGTCGCAAATTTTCGTGGCTTTAGTGCTGACAAGATTACACCATTCGAACCCCTTTGTACTAGGTTCCAACAACATGAGGTGAACAGTAATCTGGTACTCAAGCGAATGACAGAAGACACTGGTAACTCATTATGCAAACTCGATGGAAATTAAACACACTGATCGATAAGCTCCGCAATAACTTATACCGCATGGTGCATGTTCAGACGATGCGTAGGTCACCTCTAAACAACCCCCCAGAATGCCATGGAGGAGACCGCGTTGCGGAGCGGAAAATTAAAAGTAGATGATAGAGGGGAGAAACAGCGTGCAGTACCAAATTTGTCTGGTGTACAGGTGTGTGCTTGTGTGACTGTACGAGATGAGGGGGTCAGTATAGGCATGGCTGTTGTGCGATCTCACCTTTTTGTTCTGGCATGATACCAGCGATTCCGGTTGCTACCGTCTTCGATAATGGTTACTTTGATGCTGGTGCCATAGTTTCCAACTTGTCAGCAGCCAGATTAGGAGCTGTTGAAAGAAGCGAACAACCGAAACCTCGTTAGACATTTACCCCAACTGCACATGACTACGCCTTGTTTCAATTGTACGGTAACAATTTCCATAACATCCACCTTGATAGAACTAACATCAGATTTACCGTCTAGTACCGCGCTAATCAACTGGGATGGTGGCTGAAAATCATGTGGCAGGAAAAATCTTCCATCATTCTGCAACGTGTCCTACAAAACATAACAACTCGTTTGCTATTCGGATGCTTTTTTGTATACCCACCAACAGGTGTTTATACCACGGTCACAGCTAGCCTTAAAGCAAATTCCTTCAAACTGCGTGATGCCCAACTAAAACCAAAGTAAACATAATCAACGGGATGTCAGTTATGGTTCACCTCAAGCTACCTTCAGTCCGTACTCTCTGTACTAGGTTAAATTGTAATTGCTATGCCGCACCGACAGCCAACCGTTAATCAATGCACCTAGAGATGTGAATAGTTATTGCAAAAGCTACAGGCCTATGACATTCTTCTTAATGATAGATTAGTTCGTCATGCTTAGGCCACCAGATTTGGCAGCAAAAGCTCCTCGTAACCTATAATAACATTCAATGTCTTTAAAAGAGGTATTTAGTCACAGTTGTTCCCAACCTACGCTAACTACATACTTGTCTCCGAAAAATAACACTTTGGTAAAGGTGGTGATGGCGTATTCATCATCGTAAATAATCTAAACTAATCCTCTTCAACTAGGTTGCAAAGTTGTTCGAACGATCTACCATAATGGTCGAGATCCCGCTGCCGAATGCTAAAATCATCCAACTGCATTGACATTCTGTTTCCTTTCATAAAGCATCTCGTTAACGAGAAGTTGTCACGCACTGTCCAAAACTGGCCATCGATGGGGACAGCTTGAGCTTCTCTTCTTCATAAAGTATTTTCGATCACGCTGAGCCATGATTTATTATGGTCTCTCCAGGTGAATGGAATATTCACCAAAGTCAGACTACCTACGTTTTATGTCTCCCGACTGTACTCATTTACGGTAACAGGTAATTTGATTCTGTAGTTCATCACTGCGGTATTCTGTCACACTGAATTCACTGCTCTCTTTTAATTTTTGCAAACCTATTGTATAAGTAGTACAAGTTGTTTGATAAGCCGTTGAAGCACTTGATACACTGCAGATGCATTCCAAAGCCAAATTTGGCTCGAACAGCTGTTTCTACGTGCGTTAATTCCTGCAAAAGCTTGCTTTCAATATACTCACTGACATTATTCGCTCTATTCACAAAGCACTCTCCAACTGTATCTCTACCTCGTCGACTCCGGAATTCAACTGACTACTGGTTGATTCGGCGGAGCTGTACGCCACCGGGCGCGTCCCCAGGTTGTGGATCTGGAAACACATTCCTTGTGAAAGTAACTGTGAATAAGTCTCGGCTGTTCGCAAGCGAGATGAATAAGCAGTCGCGGACAATCAGCGGCAGCGTCTTAGAGCGTGGGGGGTTCTGGGCTGGTCACCTGCTTCCCCATTAAATACCACAAGAGCTCGTAAGACGTTGTGTCAAAGCTAATGTGACCGGCTATAGGGTCATTGAACACTCACTTCTGCGACCAGAAGTGAGTATTCAACGGAGGGCGCATGAACTACCTCGATAGCCACCGGCTTCTTTGAAGACGCATGAGCCACCTAGCTGTCAATGACCTTCATGCTCTTCGGCGAATAAGTTGGTCTACAAAATGTCGCCTGATCTTCGTGCTGCTTCACTCGGGCTTCTTGGGCAGCCTGAGCAGTTGATTCCTGCTCGAAAGCCGTGCTGTCATCACCATGGTAGCCGGTTCCCAACGGTATGCGATATACGTCAATCGCCCCGCTACCTTGCAAGTCATGTCTTTAAACTGAAGGCTCCGGATGGGGTCCCCTAACTCAACCTTCTTCTTCGGCCTGGGCAACCGCGAAGCACCATGTCCACACAACCCATGGACCAATGTTTCAACGACTTCCTGCTCTCTCTTTCTCTCTCTGCTCTTTACCAACGCTGGCGACCAAACATGCTATATCGCGATCTACCACACCACAGTTTGGTTACTTTAGTTCATGTTTTTTGTCAATTTCTCATGCTTGGTAATCCCCTTACTTTTCCAAGTCCACAACATCGAGACGCCTTGGACGAATGTTCTTACCACGCGGATTAGGAATTTAGGTCAGAGGGTGTGCCGCCAAGTAGAACTAGAAAATCTTTGTTAGCGGCCCGTGCCCAATTCAAGCTAGCAACTTTCAACGTTCGGACGCTAATGCAGATCGGATCACAAGCAGCCCTTGCTCGCACCCTTGAGACTACTGCCACTGAGGTCTGCTGCCTCACTGAAACCCGATGACAGTACCCTAACAAGACGCTACGACTGGTTTCGCCGTCTGCGAGCCCCACTGGCATTTTCACCTTGTGCTTATCTGGAGACGAAACCGCCGAGGCCGCTGGTCTTGCCGGCATAGGAATTGAGTTAAGCACACGTGCTGAGGCCGTGCGACTTGTCTAGATCCCTGTCAACAGTCGACTCTACGCTATCCGATTTGAGACCTTAGTGCGACTTTCCAGCCGTGGAGCCAGCAGACGTTGCTTGTTCGCTGTAGCACCATCCGCTGCCACATACTGCAGCTCGGAGTCAGTTAAAGACGAGTTATACTGTCAACTGTCCAATCTTCTCCGAAAAAAGCGCCGTACGACATTGTGGTGCTTGCAGGGGACTTAAACGTGCAGGTCGATAGATTTTCAGTTGAAGAACGTGAACTCGGTGCTCGACATGTCCAGGACACTCGAAGAACAGATAACGGTGATCGCCTACTTCAGCTTCGTGCCGATCACGGGCTCTTCCTATCGAGTACTAGCTTTCGGCAATCCTAGCGTCAACACGCGACCTGGAGGACTACGTCACCTGACTAGCCATGGACACAGAGTAACCACATCACCATCAGTTTTCGCCGACGGAGCTGCATGCAAGATTGGAAGCAAGCTGAAGTACGTACCACACTTCGGACCACGCGCTCGTGTATATCAAGATTACTTTATGTTTTAGTGGCTCCCGACTACGTCACCGGAAGCGGTTTGAAGTAGCCAGACTTACTGCCCCAAGCGTTCTCAGCGCGTTTCTGGATCCTTTGACTTCAAACTTCAGGAGCGCCTCATACCCTGAGGTTGCAACGCACTGGGCACACATCTGCAGCGCCATGCACAACTCTGCGTTCCTGATCTGTGGTTCCACAAGTAGTCGTGTCAACCACTGGAGCTCTGCACGATCCCTCCAACTTCTCGAAGTTCGTCGGGCAATTCCACTTGATATTGGGTATCACTCACTATGCAGGACCACTAACGCTGAACTCAAACAGATCCTCAGGGAAGACGGCGAGACCTAGTGGTCGCAACCGGTCCTCGATATGGAGCAGGCTGCCAGCTCAGGGAATTTCCGAAAGTTTTTCACCTGAACCGATCCACCGCCGGCAAAAGGTTGACTGTAAGCGAAGTTTTGTACGAAACCAACAACGTCCAGTTGTGCGTTGGGCTGAACACTTTGAGCAGCAGTGCAACTGATCTGCAGCACCGGTGATCCCTCATTCAGAAATCCGTAGTGCTCCCTGGTGTGTAGACGCTTCACTACCTTCTGACGCTGATGTTGCTCATGAGCTTAGCTTCCTAAAGCGCTACAAAGGTACTGGCCAGAAAGAAGTCCCTCCGGATATTTTCAAAGTTGTGGCCCATCACTTGTTCGGGAGGTAACTTCGCTCCTGCAGAAAGTCTGGACCACCGAAGAAATCCCGTCCGATTGGAGTCTCGCGGATCTCGTGCCGGTCTTCAAGAAGGTTGCCCGAACAAACTGCACTAACCACAGAGGGATTAGTCTCATCTGCGTTGCCTCTAAAGTGCTAGCCACCCTGTTTTTAAGGAGGCTCAGCCTGGTACGCGAACAAAACATACGCGAAGAACAAGCTGGGTTCCGCTTCGGCTGGAGTTGTATCGGACACATATTTACACTCCGCCAAATACTCCATCGTCGTTAAACGTTCGGCCGGCCAACGATCGTTGTCTTCTTAGACATAGGAGCCGCATTTGACTCAGTTGACCGAGCTGCTATCTGGAACTGTCTCTTGAGAAGTGGAATGCCTGAGAAATACTACAAACCTTGGGCCGAGTGTGGGTGTACAGCGAACTTTCGCCGCCCTTTGGTATCACCAGTGGTGTGAGACAGGGCTGCCCTGCATCACCCTTCCTGTTCAATTACGCTATTGATGACATTTTGGAGAGTGCTCTGGAGCATTGTGGACCCAGCGGCGTTGAAATGCTTCCGGGGGACCGACTTCGCGATTTGGAGTGTGCAGACGACATCGCGGTAATTTGCGATTCCTCACAGGCTGTCCAAAATATACAGTGCATCTTGGCGTTGTCTGCCTCCCAGTTTGGAACGACTTTCGCCCCTTCGAACTGTAAACTCTTCGTACGGAACTGCCTAGGATCTGCTCCAACCCTTACCCATTCAGGTCAATCTCTGGAAGTGTTAGACAAGTTTGTACCTCTGAGGCAGCATCAGGGCTAACGGTTTAACGGATGTGGTCTCCTTGCTCTTCTCTAAGGCCAGGGCTGCGTTTGTTAATCTCTACCATCTCTGGCGTCGCCGCGATCTAAGTGTATTCTTGTAGGTCCGAGTCTACAATGCCAAGATGAGAGCGGTCCTGCTCTACAGTTACGAGACTTGGCGTGTTCACGCAACGGACGTTCCGAGGCTGGCTGTCTTTGCCCACCTCTCCCTTCGGAGCATTGCTGGTGTACGGTGGCAACACAACATTAGTAATGAGGATGTTCGCCGAAGGATGGGAGCCGAGTTTAATCAACGGAGCCGGCCCACAGTCTTTCAACAAGCAGAACAAAAGCATTCCGGCCTAATTCGGAAACCATGCGCACCAGACGTATACAAGGCGGTGACTGGGTCGCAGCCGTTCCACGCTGGATGGAACCACGCTTCA